TTTTTACATTATGTTAAAATATGTATGTTAGCCGTATTTCCGTCTATTATCCGTAACGTCTTTATAGACGTTACGGATAAGGAACTAACGTACATTTTATGTTTTAGTTAGATCCTGAAAAATTGCTAGTGGGATAAGTCAAATTCAAAGTAAAACAAAAGGCATAACACAATTTCTTGGGCATTATGATTGTTTAACAAAAAGACTTAAGATATTAAAAAAATTTAAAGCCCCTTGCCTGTTCTTTACTTTCTGTTTTATTAATACGATAGTAATTTCATTATTTATTTATTCATTTGGAACACCAACAGATTACATAGAAAAAATAAGATTAAAGTCAACTTTGTTAAGCCAATTACAGGTATCCATATATCTCAATATATACCCAGATACAAACAAAAGTAATAATAAAATAAAAACAACTTTAAATATTAATAATCCAATTATTCATTAATGTACTAAAATTTAAGGTAAATAATTTATTATAAGGTTGGAATAAATAGTTGATTGATGTAAATATGACAGTGCAATTGTATTAATTAAATATTTTGTGAAAGATAAAAGAACAATAAACCATTAAGCTGTAGGAACACGCAATTTACATTTAAATTTATAGAAAGAATCATTAAAAATGTCAAGATTAGTTGAATTGCAATTATTAATTGTGTTGTAAGAACGACACATTCTACACAAGGCGAATTCAGAAGTATATTTGTACGACAAGGTGAGACATAAAAAAGTTTTGTAATTCTGTATCTGGGATAATTAAATGTAACACAGATTTTTATGTGTTCTTGGATTTGGTCACAACTAATGATACCATTCACAACCTTGTATAGGAAAAGGAGATCAATAATTTTTCGACGTTCATGGAGAGGTATCATTCGAAAGAACGAGATGCGCTGTTCATATGGGCTTCTATGAGATATGCCTGACATAACAAGGATGTGCCATAATAAAATATACTTATTTAAAATAAAGAAAATACAAAAGAACAAAGAGTCAACATAAAGAAAAATGACATCGCAGAATATATTAGTACTTATAAATCGCTTGAACGCTTCGATGGAATCCTTAGAATATCCACATACATACAACATAGGTCCCCCGGTGATGAAAAGTGGAAGGCGGAATTAAATTCTACAATTCCATTGCACATTCTCCGTGATATATCCTGCAGAATACCATAAGCAGGCAACTTTACGGCGATGTTCAAGGCAGCTCTTTTGCCTCGACTTCTACTAAGTCTACGTCACCTATAAGCCTCTTGGCACACTTTTCAGCTGAATCCAAGGTGGCCAGGCCAGCCAAAGGACAAAGTCTAGAAAAGTAAAAAAAACATTGTGAGGGCTTCGTCTTGCTGTTCTATAGCCTCGCTCTGTATGTTAGAGCCTTACACAAGGAGATCTGCCGTAGATCGCCCTCGTCGGAATCCATACTGGCGATTACTCAGGAGGTCATTGTCTTCAAGGTATGACAGCATGCCATGCCTAAGGAAGGTAAATGGTAGTTTTCCTGCAGCATCCAGACGTGCATTGTCTGCAAAGAGTGAGGCAAAAAGATTCGCCTTCTCTTCCACAGTATGGGCCAGCGAGCCGCCCGGCCTCAGCAGAAATACTAAAGGCGACCGCTTTGACCAGGGACCACAAATACTGGCTACCTACTAAAAAAGCTTGGCTATGCAACACACGTGGTCGAACTTGGGCCTGCATTTTGCACTTCTTGGCGGCCTTATTAAAAGCTTTCTTCAGATTCCGAGGCTTTGCGTAGTCGAACTTCTGCCCAAACTTGGTATACGGGCCGTATTTGTACTTCAGAATGCTTACAGTCAGCACTAAACCATAGACGAGCTAAGGGTCCATTCGGTATATCAGAGTACGATATGTACTCCATGCCCGATCACAACACCTCGACTGCAGCGTCAGTACAGCTCGACGAGTCCCCTGAATAAAGCACGCCTGCTAGGTTTATGATGCAAAGAAATGGAACATTTTATTCCAGTTTACTAAGCTGCATCGCCACATCTCACATTCGCTATATAAAAATTCGCTGATTTCTTGACATATATAAATCAATTTGCCCAAAAATGGTCTGTTAGCCCTTTTTCCTTTCCAGCGTTGAAGTAATATGTGCCAACGCGCTATTAAATCGACGGCAGAAAAGAGTAACCGATTATCTGCAAAATCACATTTTTCCGTGAAGCGTTTCAAAAGTAAAAATTTGATATATTCTGAAGTAACAGACAGAATTAGCTGAAATTTTGAGTCATAACGCAATATTAAAAGCTAGAAGGATATTGAGAATATAATATAAATTATACTCTCAAATTTTTGCTTACAAAACGTTCTACTATGAAATCGTGATTTTGCAAATGACCGGTTACCCTTTCTACCATAGAAACTGTACTGTAAAATAAACGAATTGCTTAAAGCGAAAGACAGTGTACTGGTATTGTTATTTTACCTTTTCTTCTTAGTATTGCCGTTTAAAATACCGTTTCTGCTAGTTATCTGCCCAACTGTTAAGTATCTGTCCAACTTTAGACATTGTTGCCGCTTTTTAAACTATTGTTTCTACAACTGCGACTCCAACTGCCACCCAAACCTTTGACAGATTTAGTAGCTATGCATTTGCGATATCAAGCGTTTCAAACGTTTTTCTTTTGATACTAAGTGACATAAATAAACAAGTCGTGGGCCTGGTCGTAAGCCTGTCCATAACAGTTGCAGTGCCACTACGCCCATCACCTGACACATAAGTTAACAAGTTCCATGTTCCTGTAATTTCACCAGCATCTTTACCCTTCAATACCGGAACGTAGTAACACACATACTGCTTGGTGGCAGAAATACGTAAAATGTCAGTATTCCCTGAACGAATTCTTTTTATTTTTATTGCTACGAAAGACCGGGTATCACATTTCATGTGGTAGAACATTTGACTGCCGGTTTGGGTTCCACAAAAAAAATCTACAATTGGATTTGATTATAAGAACTGAACATTCAGTTTTTATTATGGTAATGCAGCAATACAATGTCAAATCTTGAGTAGTATAATAATCATCGAGTATATGTATACTCGATGATAATAATAAAGAATTATACACACATCAAAAAAAGTTTGCGATCAATAGCATAAGCTCCTATAATTCTTTAAATTTAACTTTATCAAGAAAAAATCTATGTTGTATGCTTTCTTTAAATAGGAATACCCTGTTTGAAATTAAAATATAAAACTATTTTTTATTATTTATTTAAAAAAAATTGAGCCATTAATCATAATGTAATAGTGATAGAAATTTCATAGAAAGAAAAAGACTGATTAATTAAACTTAAACAACAATTTATTATTAAAAAGTGTGAATTCAATATAAAATAACTCCTCCCCTGGGCATGCTGAGGATCAAGTTATCCAGCATTTCCTGGGGTAACCTATCCCATTCTTCAATAGCGGCTTCCCTGAGCTCTGGAACTGTCTGGGGACGTGGCTCACGGTTCCATACTGCTCGTTTAAGAACATCCCACGCGTGCTCTGTTGGGTTTAAGTCGGGCGAGCCGGCAGGCCAGTCTAATCGTGTGATATCGTATTCTTGAAGAGCAGCATTGACTCGTTGAGCTCGATGTGCGGGCGCATTATCATCGACCAGTACAAATTGGTGCCCATGGTTTACTCGGAATGGTCTGACGATATCATCAATAGCAACTGCTTTGTACATGTCTGCTGTCATGAAGCCCCGATACGGGATCAAAGGCGTTCTAGCTCCAATCATAATGCGACCCCAAAAGGACACCGATTCTCCGCCTTGCTAAACTGTTCCAGTGGCAGTTCTTTGTCTTTCACGGTCGCCTGGTCTTCTCCAGACACGGACACGTCGGTTATCTGGATGAGTGCTGATTCGGGATTCGTCAACGAAGAGACAGTTTTGCCAAATGTTTTTGTCCTCACCTTCTTCATTTTGCCGAAGTCTAGCTGCACTCTTCCACTGCAATCTTCGTTGTTGACGTTGCCGGGAATTGAGCGGAGCTCGCCAAGACCTCCGTGCTCGTAATCCAGCCTGGTGCAAGCAATTGCGAACGATCTGCGTGCTAACTTCAAGCCCAGAGGCGGCCCTGACTTCTGCTTTTATTTTAGTGGCGTTGATTGTTGGATCACGGGCTGCCAGCAATCTAATATAGCGCTTTTGGGCAGCTGTCAAAACAGTTGGGCGACCGCTGCGGGGTCGGTCAGCTAAATTCCCCATTCCGTGATACCTCTGCAACGTAGCCACGACACAGGATTGGGATATAGCAAGTCTGCGTGCTATTACTCTCGTGGTGTATCCTTCTTCCCTCAAAGTTACTATTCTAGCTCGTAAAACCTCTGATAATCCTCTTGGCATTTTTTCAATCACAACTTTCCGCGAAAAATATCTTGAATCGCTTATAATTGACTAAATCAGATTTCTGAATGAGCGTAAGCTAGGACTGAAAGCCTTTTTATATGAAAAAACAATTGAACGGGGTCATTGTTTTATGTTCTAATTTATTTTTAAATAAAGAATCTAAATAAAAAGAAGAAAAAATCATAATATAATCTACAGTAACAAAAAAGATTTCAGTTTTTCGAAGTGATCGCAAACTTTTTTTGATGTGTGTATAACTCATCGCTGCGTTTTTGTTCTCGTTCTATGCAAAGAAGATTTTTTACGTGAAGCGAACTACTTAAAATGATTTTCGTTAGGGTTTGCAGTTTGTTTGGATGACGTAGTAGATACAAAGGAGACTTGTGACTAAAAGAAAAACATTTTTGCTTTTTTATTACTATCTGTATTCTTATAAATCGTTAAATAACATTATTAAATACATCTATATTTTTGATAGTTTATTACACAACCCTTTCATTTGCTACTTTAATTTAATGACAGCGATGGAAATCTTCGCTTTTTACCACAAATGTTTTTATTACACAAAAACATACTTTGGCTGCCAAGAAAATTACATTGTATATACAATTCTCGAGTATTTACAGCGTTTTTATTTACAATTTCTAATTCTCTTACAATTAAAGATTGTGATTAATAAGCTAACGTATCGTTAAGATATTATACATTACATGTATGTAAGTTCAACTCACAGAAGTTTTCTTGAGAACTCACACGGATATGCTGCCAGGATTTGACCGTAGCATTTCACTAAAATCACCCAAGCGAGGTATCAAGTCAGCTTCTGCGGGTTACACCTTCTAATTTAATTTGAAAACAAATATAAAGTTCTATATTTATGAGTATGTACAATAAATTTTGTCTTTGACAAGTTCATCGATGTTCAAGTCAACAACCAGAAAGGAACAGACGAGAAAAAATATACATAAGAGAATCACTAGTTGACCTTTACTTGACCTTTACTATCCTTCTATTTGTTTACTTAGAAAGTACTAAATTTGTTTTTGCGTTCCTTTTGGCTCGTAAGTAAACGGGACAAGGACAAATGCGTAAAAACAAAAGTAACTGAGTACCGTTAGTACCAATCCGGCAGATTCGCCCGGTCATCAAATGAAGTGACTCGAATGGAATGATAAACTGAGTGTTTCTTTCTCATTAACTGATTTTTCCTTCGAAAATTTACCTTAAACATTTTATTTTCTAGAGAAAATAGATATAAAAAGTTTGTCAGTTAACATAAAAGATTTTTAGGAACTTGCTTATTTTCAAAGGTTGTCAAAGTTTTGTAAAAGGTATCCTTTTCACATTTGCATAAAATGAAATGTTTACATAATGGGAGAATACTAAAACCAAAATTTCAAGCCTGAAAACACCATTTTACCTTCACCAGCACATCCATTGCGCTCGCTAGAGCGAACGAATTCCATTAGACAGAGTAAAGCATACAAAACAAAGACAGACGATATACCATTTTATTCCACACTTATACAAAAGCATGTTCCATTATCTTTTTGTCAATTTAGACACGTATACATTGAAATGTATTAAAGTTGTTAAATAAACAAATCAAAAGCGGAAAACATCGATGCCATTAGAGGATTTGCATTTTTGTCGTTTGCCTTAATCGGGGTCGGTCGGACAGAGGACCGTCCACAAAAAGTAGTTTTCTTTTAAAACGGCTGTCAATTGTTTCAAAGTAATTGTCCCTCTGAATTATAATTTAAATTGCAAAACTTAAGTCATAGTATTTAATATGATTATAGAGTTTATTGAGAAAGGGTTTTGTACTTATCTGTCCGAGAAAATTCTCATTTAGTTTTGTTTGTCCAACTTGATTGAATGTAAATAACATGGTTAAGAGAGCAACTGGCGGCTTAGTACGTAAAGTGTTGATAAGCCTGACGTCGATTGAATCTCGTTTCATCCACGATCAGTGAACCAAAATCAATTTTCTCGCAATCTCGCACGTGATCCAACCAAGGCGTAATTAGCTCGAAAACAAAAGAAAATTAACCCACAACCATTAGCTTTAGAGATTATTAGGTGAGCGCTCACTGATTTTTTCAGCTTTTTCATTATTGTATAAATTATTTCGTACCTTTAACATGCAATTTGCTTATAGGAATTATTATAGACGTCATCGAGGACGAGAAAGTTATCTAATGACAAAAGTGTGAAATAGCCATCTCTAATTGTTTAATTTTGATAATTTGGTAATTCGGAGTATTGCGGTCGTTCCCCGATGTCTTTAGTCACCCCCAAAAATCTATGACATTCTTGGAGTCTCTGCACCCACTTCAAACTAAATAGACGCTGAGTTGCGAAAAGCCGCCCTCTCTACCATGCTTTGACAGCTATGCTATAAAGTGCCCTAAAATGAAGGTTATAACGATAGCCCGGTACCTGATCTCCGAGATTAAACATTTCTAAACAATAAAATAATTTACTTATTAAAAATTGACCATAACACTAATAATTTTAAAGGCATTATCTAAATCGTTGTACATAAAATATGTCAAATCCAACAAAATTCAACAATTACATAAAATTATATAGAAGACACTACATACAATGTAATTACTTCTAAAAGTTCAGAACCTTAGAAGTCGCAAAATAAGGTTGAATTTGGTCATCTCAAGGAAACATTAGTGTTGCCTTTAAGGGCAAAGTCCGTAAAACTCGCGAAGACAACGGCAATAAAAAGAGTTGCTACAGAGATGTATTGAGTAACGATTGGCAGGACAACAATGAGCCACAATTTTGGTTTGGCGGTGGTGATAGTAGTCAGTATGATCAATACAGCTCGGTCGAGACGAGGCGGCGTGGAACCCGAGCTCTGCATTGCGGCTGGCCGTTCTCCGCTCAACACGTGGACTATCACCGACGCCGATTCTGTGGAAGAAAATATAAAATCATAAAACAAAATAACCTTTATTGCCAGCGACTGTGTCGTGCAAGTTTTAATTTACTTTTAGGGCAATACTAGTACTAGTCTCTTTCCTTATTTTCTAGATGTATCTTTTTTGTGATACCATGTTACGAGACGAACAAGTCGTGCGCTTGCTGTTAAGCGATACGCCTTTCCGTTATAGTCGCAATGCCACTCAGAGCTTTGAATCTCTAAAATCTGAGTTACGCTACCACTGCGCCGGTCACCCTGAGACATAAGTTGACAAGTCTCATGTGCCTATAATTTCACCAGCACCCTTATCCTTCTCAACAGAACACTCATCTCACATTACAACTTGACGACTGAGATACGAGTATCTAAAGTGGCTTGGATAACTAAACCTCAAAATGTTGTACAAAGTGTAAAAACCTATAGTTTGTGCTAATGAGCACAAACTATAGGTTTTCGACCCTTACTTTCATAAACACGTATCTTATAAAGAGTGATTACTCAGGAGATGGCAAACATTTCTATTTATTTTCAATTTCTTATCAAGGATGTTAATTTGAACGCATTACTTTAGGAATAAGGATAAGAATAGGTAAAAGCCAGTGTGTGAATATGAAGGAAATTTGATGTGAAATCATCCTGCAAATATGTATACACAATGCACTTTTTGCATTTCAATTAATTTGTTTTTTAAGATACAAGTTTGAGAAAGTAAGGCGACGATTTGTTCTACAACTTTTGAAAATTCTCACAACTTTTCACTTCTCATCCCTACATATCGTTAACACTTATTATATAGGTAGTAAAATAAATCATCTTTTAACAGTGAACTCGAATATACTGTAACTTAATCATAAGACTACATTGTCGAAGAAACAGTGACTGTGTAAAGTGTTCATATGTCAAATTGTAGAACCCCTAGTAGATAATACCTAGGATTTCATCATTATATAATCATAACGGAGGCACTGTATTGAAATAGTGATTCCGTTAATATATTTGTACAGCGCCCCTAGTGGTTACAAGAATAACTAAATTTTGGCATAAAAATATTGTAAGAGGTAGCAAGCAACTTCATGACTGTAAAGTTATGAAGTTCGCTTAGATACCGTGTGGTAGCGAAATAATGTAAACGTTGCTGACTTTCTTCATCGTCATCCTTTCATTTTCTGGTTCATCATCCTCTTTTCTGGTTCCTGGCCAATAATATTTGAAATTTTGAATTGTCGTCAAATTCCTTTTCCTTCACTATTCTTACGTTTGTTCTATCCGTCTTCACTACCATCAAAATTTTTGAAACGAGAGGACGTTTAGTAACAGTAGAGCTCCTTGTGAAAGAGTTAGTCCAGAGAAGTACTGCCATCTTACCTATTTCCGTCGCCAAACAGTAATGTGAGCATTACAGCGTTACGGTTTTGTGGAACATGGGATTTGTCAACTTATGTCCCAGTGTGTCTCTAAGATCTTTGCGATTTAAAGCTCTGAGTGGCACTGCAACTCTTATGCATAGGCGTGTCGCGTTACTATCAGACTTGTTCTGCCGTCGGAACGTAAAAAGCACAAGTGCTGTATAAAGTACGCATAGTTGTGCCTTTTTTCGTTACGAAGGCAGTGTTCGTAACGTCACTTGGTATTATATGAAAAACGTGCCCATAAATCAAAAACCACTTTCATATTGTTAAATAAACTCCACATCGATTACTACTAAAATTATGTAGTTATTTATTTATATAGGGTATTATGTATTTAGTTCCTGTATGGGGAGTATTTTATAATAATTGTATCTTTTCTTTATATTATTTTCCTTGTTACGGCGTTTTCTTTTCCTCTTTTAACATTTCTTATAATAAATCTTGTGAATCGGGCCTTCTGCATTCTCATTTCGCTAAGGCTCCACCTCAAGTTTTGCCAAGCAAAGTTTTAAAATATTTTAAGTTCGTGCCTAATTTCTACTATATTGTATTTAAACTAATGCAATAGTGCTTGCACGCTTATTGCACGCGATTTAAGGTTAGAGTTTAGGAGGTGAGATGTGGGTCACCCTTCACGTCCCGCAATCCGCGCTCTGTAAATTAATATGAATAAAATAAGACCGCGCGGAGAAAATTTGACACAGATCCAACGTGAACAAGCGCTCGATGATAACTGACGAGGCAGCGGGCGGCGCGGCGTGTCGTTAAACCGCTGGGAAATTTGCAAATTTTGGTGTAAATGTGCATTTAATAACTAATGTGGCTTCAGTTGAAAACTAAAATTTTGCAGGTTCTCTGTCATACTTAAAGAGAAACATTTCTATATAAAAAAAATATGTACAAAGTTAGATATTTTATTCTTAAACTTTTTTAGCCTGTTTTCAAGATTTTATATGATAGGATAAAGTACATCCCATCATAAGACACAATGGCACATTCTTTAGATAATATCTTTAGGTGTATCGCATATTTTTTTGTTAGACCGTTATTTGATAATAGATACTTGTTTACAAGTATAATATCATCGGTAAATACCTAAACCATTTGATCTATCAAAACAGTTTTTCCCGCTTATCCTTCGGCGGCCCGTATCTACAGATACTGTATCTACAGTATATTATATCTACAGATACTTAAATATCTATAGATACTTAAGTGCTATAGCACAAACAAGTCAGCAAGCGACGCGCAAGCGTGCTAAATTAAGTTAGTAGCAAGATTAAGACCCCACACTCAGTGGTAATAATGCTAAATAATCAAAAGAATGATTACAATAAGGCTTAGATATTTAATGTGAAACTAATTTCAATGTGAGGTGAAATTTTAGTCATTAAAGCTTCAACTCGTCGATGCTGTATTTTCATGTAGAACCGAATTTTGAGCTAAAGCTTTCCGATGTTATGATCAGCCGTAAATAAATAAGGTACAATCAACGACTTCAATCCATAGACAAGACAATTCGCAGCAACTACATGTTCCGAATAGTTCTAAACAAAACACTATCAATAGTGATATGTGAGTGTTTTAATGTTGAATTTTGTCAAAGAGTATCAGTACCGTAGTGCCGTGGACAGACGTGACAGACATATTAGGAATGAGGCAGGCAGATAATATTGAGTGTTTCCCAATTATATTTATCCATAGCTGGGGAATGAATATAAAGCCCCGGGCAAAGTCGCTATTAGTTGCACAATACGTAGTCAAGTACATAGATATAGTTGAACCTAGTCTTTCTTATATTTTTAAATTTATGTGGTAACCTCGGTAACTTGTAATCATATTATACATACTTTGTTATTGTGTAATCAGAACACTGTTATTTATTCATCTATGATTGATGTTTTGTCTTAATTTAGCACGCGTCATTATATATTTGCAAAACGAGATGGATGATATGAAATTTTGTTTACTATTTCGCGATTATCAAATATTACAATACACAATTTAATAAAAACGTACCAAAACTGATTTAAGCGAAAAAATATACAACGTACCACAACAATACGTACTGAATCAATGTGAATAATACTTCAAATTTATATTAACACAATTAGTCTAATAGCGAAATATGAGTAATACACCGTTGTAGATTATTGTATTGTAGTTATTATCTGCGTCTGCCGTCTTGAATGTTTGACAACCGACTAAATGACGTGCAGTGCCTTCACCGCATATCAGTGAAACAGCGTGTGTATGGAACGCCGCATCTACATATATATCGTTAGATACAATCTAATTTAATACAGGTTTAATGTCGTAAAACGAAACTATATAGAAATATTTATTAAAATTGTAAAGGAGAAACGTACATGTCTTGAAAACATCGCACCGTATGAATAAAAAAGTAGCGTGATATTCTAAGCTTTTTGTTTCTATGGCATCAGATATGGATTTGACACATACAGGAATCAAAAGCGTCTGAAGAACCGAAATGATGTCAAGACGTCGTAGTGACGGTGGCGGTACAAATAACGGAAGTTTACAAGAGCACTCGAAGCTTTTAAGGCGGCTGTCAAGCACTGACGAGCACTAACAAACCACTGGGATTTTACCTGTCACAATTACAATTGGATTGCTAGGATTTTCCGCTGCGAGGAATAAAATACGTTTTATATTGTCATGCTTTTTACGTTCATGCATTATGGTAATAAATATTTAGATAAGCTATTTGTGTAGAATAATTTGTAGAAAACTTTTTGTGGTTTCGGTAGGTTCTAAATTACTGTAAAATGTTACAATCTCGTTTCTTGCTTAGTTTATTTGGAATTAAAAGCGAAAGCAAATTGTGCACGTACAATTTTTTAACAATTTATTGTTTTAAAATTATCTCAGTACAGAGTACTGAAAAAACTGTCCTCAAAAGTTCATATAATTATTTTTATAATAATTAATTATCACATCTGTTTCCCAAGTTTTATTGAAATCGGTTACCGGAAAGTGCGCGAAACGGATTCATCCCCTACTTTGCCACCCTTAGAAGTGGAATATTTACTTCAAATCATCATCAAAATCGGTTCACAAATGCCGCCGGAGTTATCGCGTAACATACATACAACAAAAAAAAAGGAAAAAAACATACAACCGAATTAAGAACCTCCTCCTTTTTTGAGGTCCATAAAAATACGTACCGTGTGTACGATACACCAACGGTACCTCCTATGTGTAAGTAGATTGTTCTAATTCGAAACACTAAAAACAATGATCAACTGAAAAGTAGGCTCCAAAAGATTTACGAAAAAGTTGTTATTGTTTGTCGCTGTCCTAGTAACTTCAGATCATCTCTCTCGACACGATAAATCTAGAAACATTTGTTCTCATCAAAGTCGGGACAGGAGAACAAAGTCCGTATTGTGTTTATTTTTATTCGTGTGTTTTCTCTATTCCCATTAAAAGAAGATGTACATAATAAATGACAATCTATGTCAAACTGACGAGAGAATGGATAAAATGTTTGTCGTATTTCCTTTGATATGGGTTCAATTCAGTGTAATTTTAAAATCTGTCATAATGTTATGACAAAAGCATTTTGCAAATCTTAATTCATCACATGGATAGATCTATACATATTTGAGAAAACGCTGTTTTTTTCACTGTCTTGTAGTTAAAAGGAAAATACCATGTTTTTAAACCCAAAGACTTTAACGTACATAGATATCGTTGTTTACACCTATAAAATAAGTTGATATTACAATAACCTTAAACATTTCATTCAAAAGCCTAAAAAAGCAAATTAGAGGCTTGTAGAAGCGTTATAGTGGCGCCACTGTGTCGCTGCAGCCGCGCCACTACTCATTTTCATACAATTCTTAGAAGCGCAGTTGCGGCGCCACTGTCGACACACGCGCGCCCCAATTTGCAGTCGCAATTAGTGAATTAAAAATTGCTAAAGCACTACAAACGCGCCACTGCATCGCTTCTACAGCGTCTAATTTGAAAGCGCCGTAACACTAACATGACATTTTGATAAACGATATTAATTAAAACTACGAAAAAGATTTCTTTTTAAAGCGAATTTTGTCGCAATTAATTTATTTTTTCATACTAAAATATTCAACTTCTATCATAAAGAAAAACCAATAAAATGTGACCAAGAATTTTTTTCTGTAAGCTATTGTCTGTTACTGGTTTTACACGCATTTTCCACTAAGCGGCTAATCACGGGCGACCAACCGTCTTTAGATATTTTGCTTCATGGAAACATTATTTTAGTTTCAAAAGTGAGTAAAACTATAAACAAAAAAGCACTAGATACACCTATACACATTTTTATACATTATATACATATATATATACATATATATATATATATAATGACTTTATTGTATTTTTGAGTGCTAAATGTTAATGACTCGTAACAGGGCAAATTGCAATGTACTGTCATTGTGTATTAAGGGAGGAAAATGAGACGTTACTGACGAGAGTTTGTAAGAAGCCCGAAGCCGAATATTTTCATGACTCGAGGTTTGTAATTTTTACCGGTATTATATTACTCTAAGATTTTTACCGCCCGTGTCACATACAATGTTTTTCATCACAAGCGAGAAAATACATACAACGATAATTTATTTCTTGTATGAATAAATATCGTTTCACAACACAACATTTACGGATTTAGCAAATGGCGGGTATTTGTTTTTTTTTTGTATATAACTTGCCAGCTATTCTTCCATAGATAATACCACTCGAACTAAAATGTAAAAGACAACAGACGCATGCAGCCATAATGTATTAGATATAAAATAAATAATTTTCAAATTAAAAATACTTCATTTGAATTCACAAAATAAATTTAGTTAAATTGAGAAAGCTTTTGAATCTTTGTAATAAGTAATGAATTGTTAAAAAGAATTAATCTTTATAATTTAATCCTCTCGATCGGCATTTTTTTCACGTTTGGTCGGTTTTATTCCCAGATGATGCAAGCAACTTTAAAAAAATCTTTGAATACAGTATTACTTATTTACTTTTAAACCACCAATAACAACATTAAAACTGTTTAGTAGTATACATTGTGTATACTACTAAACTACATTATGTATAATTCTATATATGTATATTAGAATTAATGAAACGTGCTTTTCATTCAATTGACGGAATGATTGAACACATTTCGCAATATTTGTGTTTCATATAATTTAATGTAATACGCAAATGAGATATTCCCGCAAACGCAATTTGTTACGCTTCATGAATAGTAAAAAGTTTTTAATACATTTTCCAACGTATTAAATGCATATTATGTACATTTTTCGAGGTTCAGGTCCTTGTAAATAAACAGCTATTAAATCCCATATTAAAGTGTATCGATTGTGTTTACACTGAAACAACGAGATGCATCTCAAGCTTTGCCGTGTCCTTTATTAAACAATTTGCATGGACACCTTGAATGATACCACATCAAGGATTTAATAACATTGTGGAGTCCTTTTTTTTTTTTTTTTTTTGACGGGGGGGTAATTATAATGGGGATTCTCCCTCCACACTGGAAGGCCTACCCCACTAAAACCCCCCCGGGTTTCCCTCTCGCCGGTTGAGTCGGCGCCGTGGGATCAGTGAACATTCACCACGACGCCGCCCGGCAACATTGTGGAGTCCTAGCTTAAGTGGTCAGTGAAATTTATTAGTAACCGGAATATTTGTTTATTGAAAATCATGATGCTTTACTACCGTGATTTCCATGTTTTTTTTTGTGAAAATGCTCTACTAGTTTGTTATTATTTATTTACACAAAGAACTACACAAAAAAAATCCATTGATTGAGAAACTTATGTTTCTTTACAGGTGCCGTAGGCAAAAAGCCGTTAAACCCAAAACAAAGATCTCTTGGAAACGCATAGGGAAATCCGTAAGAGCCGCTGACTCGATCTGTAACTCAGTTGATCCGGTGGATATTAGAGCGAGTCCATTCACATCGAAAGATTTTTTCTTTGTGTTATTGAATCTTTGCGTTGCGTGATCAATGAGTAACCATTAGACATGCACCCAAACTATACTTATAAACGACTTATGACATTACACCTTAATATCGATTCAGCCCTTGAAATGGATTTATTAATACGGGCCCAAATTTCATAGGGCAAAATGTTCCACGTCAATTATTTATTAAAATCGATTTCGAGCACTTCTATAATCCACGTAAATAAAACCATTATATCAAAGTGTTCACTCACTGCTAGGTGCGGAATTTAATACGAATTGTAGGCAACAGACGCAGTTTGGAGTGTAGTAGGATCGAGCGAAGATTTGTGTTTGTTCTATTTTTGTATCAATAACAATAAAAAACTAATGGAGTATTTTCCAACAAAATAGATGAATATTATGTTAGAAAAAATTTCATGATATTCGATACAAAAATAAAAATACGTATTTAGTTACAAAATGGTAATTAACTTCGTATAATAGGCATAATAAAAATATAACATTGCCGGAGCCAAACTTGGGGCGTGGTCTTATTCCGTCGATTTGGAATGTACGTGAAATATTGTTTTCTTTATGTCGAAACATGCATCTGTGATGTGGCCGCCAAAATGTCCCACACTGACGACGGGCAACCGGAGTATATTATTATGAATCACGTTAGTACAATGAAAAATGACAAATCATCTTGTTCATTTTTGTTATGTAAATAAACGCCTAAAAGAACCGACTTAATATATGGATTCTAACGTGTGCGTAGGTTGGATTATTTTATTCCAACGACATACTAATCTGTTACTAAATTTGGTGTAGCGGTAGTTAAACATATGCGTTTCCATTACCATATAGAGTGTCTTTACAGTTTCTATTCATGTATGCGTGTCATACGGCAATACAACTGTGTGGAAACGCGGTCAGTACACAGATTGCGCACGGGTAAATAATGGTAATAATAAAATAATTTATCCTACAAAAGTAGTTTACGAGTTTTTGAAACAAGTTTTAGTAAGAATCATAAGTAAATCATAAGTAACCTTGAACGTAATGACGTGAAACTTTGCCTAATCTAAAAAAAATACATTGAAAAATGTTTTAATTATTGATACAAAAATCGAATACGAAGAACAATAATCTCAGTACAGAGTACTAAAAAAACCGACCTCAAAAGTACGTGGAATTACATATAACTGCCAAGTTTTATTGAAATCTGTTATCGGAAAGTGCGCAAACCCGGATTCATCCCCTAGTTTGCTACTATACGGGACTTGACACAGGAGATAATAAATCGGTTCTCCCTACTCAAGGTATATTGAGACAGAAAAACGCCTTGAATTGAAGAATAGCAAAATTAACCATTAAAATAATTGCTCCTTACAATAAAATTTAGGCGCTATTTATAAAACAGAATCATCATGCGTGAACAGCCGCCCTTAGAGGTGAATGATTTTCTTTAAAATTAAATGAGACCACTATGGAGGTAACCTCTTTCCAACGAAAAAGAAATATCAAAATCGGTTCACAAATACCGGAGTTATCGCGTAACATACATACAAAAAAAAACATACAGTGGAATTGAGAACCTCGTCCTTTTTTGAAGTCGGTTAAAAACAAAGATCTGCAACAAGCACATGGAAAAATTTTTAAGTTTGGTAGTTCGCGTTCCGTAGCTCAGCTGGTTCGAATCCAGCCGGATCTAAAGAATTTTTCTTAGTGTTCGATCGTTGTATTAATAATTATTACAAACTATAGTGGTAGTAATTTCCCAAAAAAAATATATCATGGTCCTAAAACATCGTGATACTCAATAATTTTAAATCTAGCATAAGAGTAATAACATACCTGAGCTACTGGGTGCACAAGTGTAATTCCCGGAGTCATGAGGAGCGGCTCTTGCAATGAGCAGCCGACTGGTCCTCGTTTTCTGTTCCGTCTCGACACTGATGCCACCCCGTTGAGCATAATTCACCACTTGCTCGCCACGATACCAGTAGATAAAACTGCAAAAGAAAAGTGGTCGTTTATTGGTGGTCTTACTAGCACGTCACACTGATATGACCAATAAGAATTGTTTGTATTGAAAAGGTTAAGCCAGTTTTGTTGCCTTATTAGGTAAATATTGTTTAACCTGAGACAGGCTTCGACATTGTAAATATAGGTGTAATAGTCATTATCATTCTAGTGTCTTATCAATAACACAATAGCTGCGCCATTATTCACAATTTCAGTTCCCTCTATATTTACTTATTATATTTATTTTTTATAATTATTATACAATGATCAAAGACTAAGAAAAATTCCTTCGATTTGGCTGGATTTGAACCAATATATGGTACGCTGGTTCCAATCCAGCTGGATCGAAGGAATTTTTCTTAGTGCTCGATCTTTGTACGGTAGTAAAAAATGGTGATATTCAAAAACAGTATATTTTTTTATCGAGGTACTGAAATGAACCAATATTTATTTACCTGAGGTGGTTAGCCACCCGGGCTTTAGTGAGGGTGTCTGTTACTCCGAGGGTTTGTATTTATTGGCTTTTAGTTTTAACGTGAACTTGAAGTTCTCTCTCTCACTTATACTATAATAATATTTATTTCACTTATATTATAAATATATTATAAAAATAAATTATTTCAATCCTTTTCGCTCTACAACTAAATCACGAACCAAAATTGTGAAGTTTGGGCGGTATTTTTTTTTTAACCAGACCATGATTAGCGGGCTCTGGTAATTATAAGCGCGCAGTTACACGAGGCGAAAGTTTTTGCGCATAGTTACCACGTACCTTCATGTACATAAAAAATCTGAATTCTATTTACTAGGCAACAACATTAAACTTCCTCTGAATAATACAACCGCGTGGCCGCCGCGCGGGCCGACACGTAGTTCAAATTCAAGCCAGACTCGCCCGTGTACCCGGGACGCTCATTTAAATTAAAACGTAAAAGTTAAACAAATAGAGCGTATTTTGCCATGACAGTTACACGCACGCGGTCGCTGCGCGGCGGCAACGAGGTCATCGCTCTTTGATCGCGCGGCGGCCGTTGCGGACTCCGCTTGCGGTGAGTGCGACGAAATTCGTGTCGAATAAATGGCCCTAAGCGTATTTCGAACGATTTAAGTGCTACGTCGTCGCGTCACAAAAATGGTTCATACACAAACGCGCTAACGCGGTAAAAAAGTGGCGGGACGGTGGCGCCATATTAATGGTGCCACATCTATGCGGAAGAGGCCCGGGACTAAAACCAAATGTAGTCATAGACGTAACTTTTCTCAATGAAAATGGTCCACACACAAGCACTTACTTTTATTGAATTTCCGCAGCGCTGCAATCTCTGTGAAATTGTGGGTTTGTTTACTATGAAGAATTATTTTAATGTGAAATTATAATTACCTTTTTTGGTATTTGTGATTTTTTAAAATGTTGTTTTAAGTTGAAATTATATGGTTTCACTTATTGAACTTTACCTTTTGGCACAAACAGAGCAAATACTAGCTGTTTGAGTTTGTCTAGGTCACTCGAAGTAAATTAAAAACTAGGTACTTTTTATTCACTAGGGATTCAATGATGCACTTTACTCCCGCTGACGTAAGGCTATAATGACGTGCTTTTAGAGCATGAGAAGTGAAAACTTCATTTTTTTTTCACCGTACACAACACACAACTCAAACGCATTCATTTTACATTCTGGCAACCTCGGTCTTCCTTCCACCCTCTCCCCACCCCCTCAAAACAGTTCAAAAACTTAAGAAGACCAGTGTACTCTTTCAATATTATTAAAAACCACATTCGTAATTCAAAAAGTGTATATAAACTCAATACTGGATGTGCTAGTAGGCGTCTTCACGACGTAAGTCCCGACCCCTCCACATAATTTAATAAATCCATGAATTCTCGTCCAATACACAACAAATGTTATTATAGCAAACCGTAAAGGCCGTTTCAAATCTTTTGTATTTATAACCTTCTTAACCTTTTAAATCTTTCTATTCAAACTCTAAAATTAATTGTATTCAGCGCCTTTTTATTACATACTTTTGTTGTTCTATCATTGTTTTTTAGAGATTGTTTTCAAGCTTTTGTATATTGTGTAACTTGCTTATAAAAGTCTGTAAATAGATTTGCCGTACCATTATACTTGATCTTGCTCATTTTCCATACAGTCCGCTACATTTGGTATAATCTGCAGGTATTTTATGAGCAACAGATATAAATAATGAGAATAATAATCCAAAATTATTTACTTATATACTATTATTAATATTTATAGGTTTTAAAATTTTTTCACGTTTAAGAATAGTTATTTTTGTTTTGTATAAATTCATGTACACATACACATATTTTACTGTCTAGTAATTAAGCATTTAGTTTTAAAAGACGCTTTAGGTTGATGTGTTGCCCAAAAATTCTTGTACTTAAAAAATTTTATTTTATTTTAGGTATTTGCGAATGTTACACATAGGAAATTAAACTATTTTTTTTCGGGTTTAAATCGCATACCTTTATTTGTTTTATTTCAAACAAACCAGGGTTTCGCGTCCTTTTCAAATTCCATGACCAGTCAGACCTGTAAAGGGCCCGAAACGTTGGGTTGTTTAAAAAACAAATATACGCAATTTAGATTTTAAAAAAATGTTTCATTTCCTAAATAATTGCTAACTTTACATTTGAGAAGCGGCCAAAATACAAATAATATAATGTTTATTTGTTATGGTAGTTAATTTTAAACAAAGCGAGTAACTTAATTGCTAAATAAAAACTTTTAGAAGCTACGCAAACTTAATATACAGCTACAGCTGGTTTTAAAGGAATCAATAAAAGCAAAATCGGGGTCTTGTTAGACTGTTTGGCAAAAAAAAAGAAATCGCAAAACCCCTCGTGCATTAGTAATAGACTCAGTTCTTACGTATTTAAAAGTTGAAGAAACAATGGTCAAATTGTACAAAGTACCATTTACTTTAATAAATAAGTAGAGAATAATGCTACAGTTGCAGAAAGAACATTACTGCAACTCAGTGAATATCTACGAAACTGTTAATAAAGATTCATGAGACTCCCCCGGAACTATGTGAGTACAGAACTATATCTCTATAAAACTATATTACTATAGAACTATACCTTTTCTTAGACCGAGTTTGCTAGAATGCAGTATTACTCCTTTATTTTTTTATTGAGTTTGAGAGAGCACATCATGTACAACGTAATTAAATAAGATCGGTTTATTTAAAATTTTATAACATGTTCTACTGCAGCGGAATTTTTGCATAGTAAAATAAAAGAGTAAGGTAGGTGCCTTTGTCTAAGTTATTGTACTATCCATAAAGTGCTTACTCTTTTACTTTTCTAATATTTTTAAATAAAAATTAATTGAACACTAAACTTTCCCGCCATCACCGATTACTTCAAGGAAAGGTCACGTAGTTAGTGATGTACTGTGCTCGATCTAATTATTGATAACGATGAATGATTATAATTTCTTAAAAGTAAATTAATTTTAGTATACAAAAAAATTCATAACAATTTGCTACTTGGTAGTGACTCTCTACGGCCTTGAATTTCTACTGCATATATATTATGTGTTCATATTCATTTTAACGTTGACACTAACATTCGAAATTGGGTTGTCCTTATTTTTGGCGCCTTTTTTTGCCTTTTGCTATTGTCATTCGTGTAGCGCGTAGACTAATTTTCATCTTCTAAGTGTGCCGTGGTGTAGCGCACATGACATAGTGACAGTTTTTTAATGTTGTTGTTTTCTTTTTCATTCTTTCCGTAAAGAAAGGCAAGGGTTAGTCAATAGAGTCGTTAGTCCAAAAATGTTTATCGTCGTAACTCACATCATCAACAAACAGACGCATGAAAGCTCATATAATCGATTATGTGAGCTTTCATGTATCTGTACTGTTTTAAAAAAAAAGTTTTAAGGCTTTAATCGACGCTATTATTGCTTAATACTCAATACTTTATTGCATACCATGATGTTGTATATAAAAGATGGTAGGTAATATAAATTAAAATTCATATGGGTCCTGCAGGAGCATAGCAAATGACAAAAATCTGAATTAATAAAACTAATTCTAGCTCTATTATACCTGAAGCCTTAAGATTATTGCAGGTTACATATTGCTCATTGTGTATTTGTTGAGAAAAAAAAACGACTTTAAAAATTCGTAGCATTACATCTATTTGCCAAGTTTTATTGAAATCGGTTACGGGAAAGTGCGCGAAACCGGATTCATCCCCTAGTTTGCCACCCGTAGAGATGGAATATTTTCTTTCTTCTTGATTACTAACTGTGACCAATACTGTGGTACTCTTTCCAATAAAAAAAAACATCAAAATCGGTTCACAAATGCAGGAGTTATCGCGTAACATACATACAAAAAAATACAGTCAAGTAATATTAATATTAATTTTATAATTATATAATTTGTAAAATATATCTTTATTATGTATTAAATATTATATTATGTACCTATATTATTAATTGGACATATTCCTATGTTCTAAGTATTCATGTATGTAGTGTATAGCCACTGAATATGTCTTAACGCTTCTGTAAATTATGTATTATTATGTAATAATATAAACTATGTGTAAACTATGTACATTTGGGAATATTATTCAGATAAACTGGGATAACATTTCAATATAATGCTCAATTAATATTTACACAAATTTGACGAGTTTGTGAATTCAATCGCCATTGATTGGGTTGGGCGAACGCTATGATTGAACCAAGCATTATTAGTCAATGCAGGTTTGGGGATATAAATAAATTGTGATCAGCAGGCAATTAATTTACGATATTTCGAACTTGTTTAAATCGAATAAAATAGAATAGAAACCATTTAATGCAACGTCACAATATACAAAAGGCGCAAAAAACGAATATAAATAAATACAGAAATGACACAGAAAAAAAAGCAGTATATTAACATTTAAACAACAAGTTACATAATATTAAACTGACATGTGTGCAGCTGTGGCGTATGCAAA